TTCTCAGCCTCCCGAGTAGCTGAGATTACAGGCATGTGCCACCACGCCTGGCTAATTTTGTATTTTTAGTAGAGATGGGGTTTCTCCATGTTGGTCAGGCTGGTCTCAAACTCCCGACCTCAGGTGATCCACCCACCTCAGCCTCCCAAAGTGCTGGGATTACAGGCATGAGCCACCATGCTCAGCCCAATCACCTCTTAAAGATCCCAACTATTAATACTGTTACAATGGCAATTACATTTCGACATGAGTTTTGCAGGGGAGAAGCGTTCAAACCACAGCACATGGGTTAGGTGAGAAATGAAGAGGGAGGTACACAAGAGCATCCAGAACCACACCATATAGACACCAGCTCTTTTGGCGTAAAACAGCACAAATGGAGAAGCTGCATTGTTTCTCGATAAAAGGGCCCGGAAAGATGACCAGCTATAGTTTCCACTAGAGGAAATGTAGATCGTTTGTATGACTTCAGAGTATGAAATATAAAGACCTGGAGTCTGTTGCATTTTTTTTTCAGGACTAGAGTGACTATATTACAGATAATGAAGGAAAGGAGCCTCATTTGAAAGATGCATCTAAATTAGGGATGGGATTCTCATTGGAGGATGTTAAAAATACTAATCAACGTCTCTCATGTTAAATGGAGCTCCCACTTTTATCAGTTTCATGAGACTATTACTAACTTATTTGAATCCAAGACGAGTCTCAAATATACCCGGAAGAAAAAAATTAAGAAATTAAACCAGACTCCTAATGCTTTGAATGTTCATAACATTCAAGAAAAATTCCAGCCTGGGATATAATCAAAGTCTGAGATTTGTGAAACTAACAGGGTCCCACTGTTACCTGTTTTCAAGAGAGTGCTGAGAAAAATTCCAATCTGTACCTTAAACAATTAGGTTAAATGATTTAAAGAAATTATCCTTCAGAGGACTGAATTCTTAATAATTTTTCTACTTGGAAAATGTGCCTTCTAAGTAAAAAAAGTCCTTGCTTATAAAAAATCCTTGGTTCAAAGGTAAAACTATGTTCTGAAAAATGTACAAGTACATGTGAAAATAACTGTTAACAGCAAATGCTTAAGAAGTGTTCTTGTTTTCTAAAATTAGTATTTCCTGTTCCTAAAAAGTTTTTAGATCAGAAAATGGAAAAATATAACTCTGGTTTAATGGAGATATGTAATTTGACTGTAGATCAACAATTAATTGTCATAAAAAGACTTTAAAAGTCCTTCTATATTAATAATGTAGAGGAGTCTTAGAGGATTACCCAGTAAAATAAATTCAAAGTAACACTATTAATGTAAGTTTCTTTAATATTCTTAATCTGGGTAAACATTTTCATAAATTAATTTCGTCAATTTTGAGTTTAAAATATGTCCTGCTCTAATTTCACCGTGTGTAAAATAAAAAGGCAATCATAGCCCATATAAAACCATGCCTCCACTTAAAAAAAAAAACTTTTTTTTTGAATAGTTTAACAGTTACAGAAAAATTGAACAGGAATTACAGAGAGTTCCCATATGTCCCCTCATGCCCTCTTCCTGCCAGTTTCCAACTTGCATTAGTGTGGTACATTTGTTAAAACTAGTGAGACAATATTGATGAATTATTAAGTAAAGTCCATAGTTTACATTAGGGTTCACTCTTTGTGCTGTATATTTTATTGGTTTTGAGAAAGGTATGACATGTATCTATCATTACAGTATCATTCAGAATAGTTGTACTGCTTTAAAAATCCTTTGTGCTCCACCTATTCATCCACCCTACCCATGGACCACTGGTAACCACTACTTTTTTACTGTCTCCATGGTTTTGCCTTTTCCAGATTCCAATATAGTTGGACTCATATGATATGTAATCCTTTCAGATTGGCTTTTCCTTAGAAATATGCATTTAAGGTTCCTCCATTATCCAGAGACATTTTTGGTTGCCACCATTTGGGTAGAGGGATCAGGGGTCAATGCTACTGGCATCTAGTAGGTGGAGACTGAGGATGCTGACGAACATCCTACAATGCCCAGGATGTCCCCTACAATAAAGCATTATTCAGCCCCAAATGCCAACCATGCTTGAGGTTGAGTAACCTTGTGTTAAAAGTGACATGTGGCATGATAAATGGGCAGTTTTGGCTTATGTTATGATATTCTGGATTCAGATATTTCCTTGAGCAGAGAAGCTGAAATGCAGAAAATTTTTCATCTGATGATCTTGATGCTTCCTTTCCTGACCATTGTAAAGAATGAATGGTTCCTTGGCTTTGGCAAGAAATACTGAAGGTGGTGGGCTTTTTTTTTTTTTTTCCTGTTTGTTTGTTTTGAAGTAAGTCTTGCTATGTTGTTCAAGCTGGTCTCGAATTCCTGAACTTCTGGGCTCAAGTGATCCTCTTGCCTCAGCCTTCAGAGTAGCTGGGACTACTGGCATGTGTTATTGTGCCCAGCCTTTAATGTGATTTTTAAAATTTCATTCAGGTGACAAACTCAAACTCTAATTTTTGTCTCAGAGATAGAATATTCTAAATTTGTTTTTAAAAAGGTGAAGAAATTCTAACTTTCTATGAAGCACTCTAAGTACTAACAAAGAGCTTGGTGAATTCTTCCACTTACCTGTGTCCCATCTGTGCTTTAGCAGCATGTATATAGATAGATAGATAGATAGAGACAGGGTCTTGTTCTGTCACCCAGGCTATAGTGCAGTGGCACGATAACAGCTCATTGTAACTACCAACCTCAAATTCCCAGGCTCCAGCGATCCTCCCACCTTGGACTCTCAAAGCACTGGGATTGGCAGTGGCATGAGCCACTGCCCCCAGCTCAGTTGCTTATTTTGCATTATTTTAAGGCAGTGGAGACAAAACGCTCAATATCAGTTTCTCACAGATCAACATCACATCTTGGAATAAAACAAACTCACATTGAAGGTATTTTAATGTATGCTTTCTTGAACTTCTTCAGACTTAAAGGGAAAATATTTTCATTAATTTTTACCAAAGATTACTGGATCATGTAAATATATTTTTCTACTTGGTTAACAGTTTATAGTATGCTGTTATTTCTCTGTTTATTTATTTATTTTCATCATATACCTTCTAGAATAAGATTTAATCTGATGGAAATATTTTGTGGATTCTGCTGTAAATAATGCACATAGTAGCAGTCAGTAATAGAATTTCTGTAAACCTAGATTTATTAATGATCTAATAACTTCCCTTCATTTTGCTGTTGATTTCCACTAAGTAGATTAAATAGTGTTCTTAAAAGCAGGAATTCATTTGGGTATGGATACAAAACAAAATGTTCCCAAATGCAATCTTGGATGTGATGCTCTAAACTTTAGGAATCCAGCTTCACTTATTTTGGATTAATTTCTCTCGCTTGGAGGTTAACACACTGTTCTACATGTATCAAATGCATGATTATAAAATTAACCATTTTGTACAATAATGAAATTAAACACACACACATACACACACACACACACACGTTCTGTAAATGATACAGCACCATCTCTGTGTCATACTTTTAAAAGGCACTTCCAGAGGACATAAAAAATGAAAAGAGATCTTTATTCAAAACCTATTGATTTTTGATCTCCAATCTTGTGTGTGTGTGTGTGTGTGTGTGGGGGGGTGTTTGTTTTTCTTTAACCCCAGTTTAATCTAATTTGAGATTCATGAGCAAGGTATCTCTAAGTGAAAGAGCAGCAGGTGTAATTATTATTTTATAAGACTTTGTGAAGTCTTTGGTATAGTTCTAAAAACTGAAGGTGAAAGATCAAATGTATAAATGTATGTATAAAAATAGTTTTGCAAGTCTGGTGGTTTCTAATTAGTTTTCAACAAAATTGAAGAAGAACCTTATACCTGAGTTGTCAGCTGACAGATTATTAAAAAATGTTATTTAATAATAGCCCATTATGTGAGTTTTACATACAACTAAGAAGAAATTTTAAAAATTCAGTGAAATTGCCTCAACAAAATTCTTTATTTTCTTATTCATTTATATGCTCAAGATTCCTTATTCTTTCATGTTAATTTTTTTAATTGAAATAATATAGAACCAGATTCATTAACAATATTTGTCAACATGAAATTGGAAAAATAAAGTCCCTATCCATCTCATTAAGAGATGCATCTCCAGTTAAATTTTACCTTTACAAATTTATACTTTTATTTACCAAATGTACATTACAGATTGAACATCCCTTGTTGGAAAAACCTGAAATGCTCTAAAATCTGAAACTTTTTGAGCATCAATATGATGCCACATGTAAGTACTGTACTTAACACAAACTTTGTTTCCCATACAAAATTATTTTAAATATTGTATAAAGTTACCTTCAGGATATGTATATAATGTATATATGAAACAAAAGTGAACTTCATGTTTAGACTTGGGTCCCAGCCCCAAGATATCTCATTTTGTATATAAAAATATTTCAAAATCCAAGATAATCTGAAATCCAAAACACTTTTGGTCCCAAGCATTTCAAACAAGGGATATTCAATCTGTATTAACATTATTTTGATCTCTAACAGTTGGTAACCCTATCTTAATCCATATAACTTTTTTTTGAGACAGCGTCTCACTCTGTCATCTATCCTACCTAGAATGCATGCAGTGGCATGATCATGGCTCACTGCAGCGTCGACCTCATGGCTCAAGTGATCCTCCTACCTCAGCCACCCAGGTAGCTGAGACTACAAGCAGGAGCCTCCATGCCTAGCAATTTTCTTTTTTTTTTTTTTAAATAGAGATGAGTTTTCCCTCTGTTGCCTAGGCTGGTCTTGAACTCCTGGGCTCAAGTAATCCTCCTGTTTCAGCCTCATAAAGTGCTAGGATTACAGGTGTGGGCCCTGCATCCAGCCCATATAACTTTTTAAACACTTAGAACAATAAATTAAAAATTCAGTATAAGAACATATTTTGCTGCAAAGAAGCATGATAGGTAGCTCAATATAGTATTTCCAAGAACAAGGAAAAAATTACATTAGGATGCTGCCAGGGTTGAGCATGCCAAAAAAAAAAAAAAAAAAAAATCTACAGGGAGAGTAGAATAAAAATATGAATTCAAAGGGGGAACAAAAGAGCAATGTAAAATTTCCAACCATTAAGAAAGAGATTGTTTGTATATTTTTAAATAATGGGTGTCAAAACATTATGGGATTTAGATTAAATTGAACATACTAGTGATTAACAGTTTTATTTTGAAGTGTTAATATGGGAAATATGTTGGAAATTATATATTTTTCGCAACTATTTGGACACATGTTGACAATTTTAGGTCTACCTAAGTCTATGAGAGGAGGCGTCCAACATTTCACAATCCTTGTAAAAGAGATGTGAAGGGAAGACCATCGAGCTATTCTTCTTTCCTGTGTTACCCCAATAGGAACGTGGACTTACAACTGGAGAAGAAAAGCTAGGTGTCAGCAGAGACATGATGGAGTGGACATTTCTTTTAGTTCCTTACCAAGAAGTCCTCTCAAACTGAGGAAGAAAATACTAAGGGAGAGACACACTAGTCTTGAAGCCCATACTTTTTTTTTTTTTTTGAGATGGAATTTCACTCCTGTTGCCTAGGCTGGAGTGCAATGGCACTTATCTCGGCTCACTGCAACCTCCACCTCCTGGGTTCAAGCAATTCTCAATTCTCCTGCCTCAACCTCCCAAGTTGCTGGGATTACAGGCATATGCCATCACTCCTGGCTCATTTTGTATTTTTAGTAGAGACAAGGTTTCTCCCTGTTGGTCAGGCTGGTCTCAAACTCCCGACCTTAGGTGATCTGCCCGCCTCAGCCTCCCAAAGTGCTCTGATTACAGGCGTGAGCCACTGCGCCTGGTGTCCATGGTGAGCCCGGTGTCCATGGCATTCTTGAAGGCCCACCTCACACCCCAAATTACCAAACCCCAAAGCTCTCTTCAGTTCAGTAGGTTGTCCTTTAATTTTCAGCAACTCTTCCCTCCAGCAGAAGAACCAGTTTTTCTTTTCCCTCATAGTTTGAACCCCTCCCCCTAATTTACTTGAAGATGAGATAGTGTCCTCTTTTACTACCAGTGAAAATAAAATGAGCTAAGAGAAAATAATCTGTGTAAGGCCATGGTAGAAGTAGAAGTTGCGGGTCCTCGAATCAACAATTAGTCTTACACTTGAAGCAGGATAAACAATAAAGGCCAAATCCAAGGCAGAAACTAGAAACATGGAGGAAAAGAGGCATAAATGCCTCACATTAGACATTCACATTCCAAGAAATCTTTCTTACAGCATTGACTTTCCTACAATGACCAACTTCCTCTGACTCCAAATTTACTCCTTATTTACACTTGGGTTAGATATTCCTTTGACTATCCAATCATACTACTGCATAGTATCATTTATACATGCATCATGCTCACCTAAAGAGATTTTTTTTTTTTTAATGGAGTCTAGGACCTAGTTTCCCTCCATTGAGTTACTGGTGAAAAATTTGGTAAATCTAAAAAGAGAGATCAGTAAATGTAAGAAGAGTTTGCTCACTGTATGTGATATTCCTGCAGATTCATGTCTTCTACACACCGGGATCTCTTGGATATAAGGGGAGCATTTCTCAGGTGTCTGAGTGACTTTCTGGTCACTATCCAGGTTTCTGGCTCGGCTTCTCAGGCCCCTGTGAATAAGCAGAGGGGATCCACATCCAGACCAGGCTCCTGGGGCTGAGACCACAGGGGCTGGCCATGCCTGGTAGACCTGACATTGGGCACTGAGACTCCTGGAAAACCTGTGCTGCTAAATTTGCAGTTCTCCATTTTGACTGCTTCTCAGACTGACCACCAGTCTGTGAGTTTTCATCAGCCTCCTGCCTCACCTCCTCTAACCCAAGCAGCAGCAGGGACTCACTTGCATGCACTGGTCTTGTAGGCAGTGACTTTTCAGCCACACCCTCTGTCTACCAGGCTAGACTTGCCTGCCTGAGAGGCATACTCCTTCCATCCTCTATCGTATATCTGTGAGCTACCAACTCTGGCCCTAATGTGACAGTGCCAGAATATTGTGCTCATCTATTTAGAGTGAGAAACCCATAAGGCAAACTGAAGAGGCCCTGTATCCTCACTCCCTTTCTGCTCAGTTTTTTCACCTATATTTTATCTCAACTTCACTCTACTAACCAGAGCACCAAGGAAGGGGAGGCTAGCAATTATGTCCGTGGTGACTACAGAGAAGCAGGGAGATGACTTACGATCCCCTTTGCATTGGATCCCTGGTCCTACTGAAGGCATCTGATAGCTTCTGATTTCCCTGGTCTGAGAAGAAAGCCCCTCTCTACCTCTCCCTCCTTACTCTACCTCAGGCTGAGGGCTCAGGCAGCCCTCTGTGTTGCATATGGCATAGGTATCTCTGCCTCACTCCAGAGGGGATCAACCAATAGCCACCTACTTCTGAGGTCTAGTGCCACAGACCTGGTGTTCATAAATTTAAGTTCTGGATTTAGGTCTCCTTTCCTATAGCCAAGTGATCAGTGACAGGCAAAAATCAAGAGCCCAGACTTCCAGAGTAACTTCATCAAGATTGAGGTAACAGCTCGTACAGCTAGAGCATAGACAGATACATTGGGTCTGAATCTTGTACACCTCACTTTGGGACTGTTGGGATGCATGAAACATGGGATTTCACTCACAATTGTGTTCACAATGTATGATATTTCTATAGATTCTTGTCCTCTACATACAGGGATTTTTGATCATTCTGAATTGTTGATTCCCATAAAAAATGAATACACGGTCATCATTGTATATGCTGCATTTCTGAATATATATTTATGAGAGTCTCCAACACATATTTACACGCCTGAGGAGTGGAAGAATTTCCCACAAATTAGCTTCTGATTCCCCACATTTCAAACCTCATTCCTCTTCCACCTCTGGCACTGGGAGTGGCACGGCTCCTTGGTGCTCCAGGCCAGAAAAGGTGGCGCAGGGGTAAAGTCACTTCTGGTGGGGGAGGGTGGTTTGGAGAAAAAAAAGAGAGAAGACTGGAGGAGTGTACAGGGAGGGTCAGGAGAAATTCCGGAGATATGGTCCACTCAATGGAGGCACATGTAACCAAGCTGAGAAATGACTTAATACCCAACAGAGTTGGGAGATGTGAAATCCAAACATCGATGTCCAACTAGGCATAGAGGAAATACTCAGATTTCCAAGCAGGTTCGAGGTTCAGAGGAGAGCGCGTTCGGTTGGAAGCGCTGGTCTTGCAGGATGGGGTGGGGTGTTCATGCAAACTTCTGGTCCAGCAGAGGTAGAAACAGACCAGGTTCAAGTAGCAGCTTAGAGGCAGCGGACTTGAGGGATGAAGACGTGAGGCCCAGAGGGTGGTGCCTGGCAGAGAAAACGGCTGCCGGACACCAAGGCCACCTCCGGTTAAAGGGAACAAGTTATACCCAAACAAACACAGTGAAAACAGGAAGAATAAGGATATCACCCAGAGTGCTCTCCTGAGACCCTCCCCAAGAACATGGATTCTTTAATGATGCCTCCAGAGCAGGGATACTCAGAGTACATACATCTCTCACAAAGCAAAGGGTCTGAGGGCCCGGGCAGACCCCTCTCCCTCCCCTTCCCTCTCCTCCACCCGCCGGCCCTGAGGAGCGCCAGGGACAAGAACTACTCTCACTGCTGTCTCCCACCCCACCCCAACGAGAGGGGAATCTAGAGGTCTGTATCCTTCCTTCACCACCCAGGCTGGGCGCCTTCTGGGAGACACAATCACCGTCCCAAATCTCACCCTGCAACTGCATCCGAGCGCTTTCTCCAAGTGTTCGGGGAGCCGCCGGAACTCTTCTTCCAGGCAGGCGTTCCGGGACTCGGCACATTAGGCACCTCCCCTTGGGGTTTTGAGTCCCAGTCTCTGCCTCTGTCCAGGCCCAGGTGCCGACGTTTCAGTGCGGGGGGCGGGAAGCGCTAACACGAAGGAGCCCTCAGGTGAGCGGCCGCCTGCCCCGGCGCGCTGAGAGATTACATACTTGGGACCCGCCCCCGCGGGCGTGCCCGGGGCGCTCCAGCTCCGCCCGCCTCAGACGCTGAGGCCATGATTGACCTGGCTGAACGTCAATCAGGGCTCCGCGTCGTGGAGGCGGGAGGGACGCCGCAGGCCCCGCCTGCTTAACGCCCTCCCCTAGGGGGCCTGCGCTCGCGAGTCCTTTATGGGGGGGGTCTCCGCGGCAGCCCGAGGTGGTCGGCGCTTGGTCGTCGCGCACTTGCGCTGGTCGAAGTAGAAACTGGCCCTGGCGGGTCTGCGTGTTCCTGGTCTCAAGGCCGCGGTTCCGGTACTGCACTTCCCGCTCCTCCAGGCCCAGCTCCCAGGCTCCGTCTTCTCCCGCGCGGCGCCAGAGAAACACCCGGAAGAGAGAGTCCCAGAGAGTCCAGACTGCTGGGGCCCCGCGACCTGACTGCCACCGTCCAGGACTCTAGCCCTGGCTCCTTCTCGCCTTTCCGCTCCTCCATGCCCCAGGGGGGCGGCTACGCCGACAATTACTTGTCAGCTGGAAGTAAAGGAGGTGCTGGTGTTAGGAGCATAAGAGGGTTGGACCAGGAAAGCAGGAGAGGGGGAAGAGGGGGCGCGGAAGAAGTGGGAAGGAGCAACAGCTCGAGCTTTTACTGTAGGATAGTTTCTCTTCTCTCAATCCCGCCCCACCTGCTGCTTCTCGCCTCAGTTCCCCACTCCCACCCGTGCATCTCTGCGGTAGGCGAGTGAAGGAGTGGGAAGGGGGCTTTTGGTCGGGATATCTGGTCCTGCAGGCCCCCACAGCCTTATCTGAGAACTTACTTAAGCCCACTGCAACTGACTTGGTAAATAAGAATCTTGACCAGCCCTGGAATCTTCTCCATTGGTAGGTAGAAATGAGGGACATCATCTGTCCCTTATAAGCTGAAACCGCAGGTCATGTGGATGTGGGAATCCACAGCACTGGCTGCGCTCCTAAGGCTCTAAGTCTACCTGCAAACCTCATCTAAGACCCTGAAAACCAAAGTAGGGATACACTGGATTTTTTTTTCTTTTCTTTCTTTTCTTTTTTTGAGACAGGGTCTTATTCTGTTGCCCAGGCTGGAGTGCAGTGGTGCGATCTCGGCTCACTGTAACCTCCACTTCCCAGGTTCAAGCGATTTTCGTGCCTCAGCCTCCTGAGGAGCTGGATCTTCAGTTGCTCGCCACCACACCTGGATAATTTTTGTATTTTTTTGTAGAGACGGGGTTTCACCATGTTGGCCGGGTTAATCTCGTTTTTATTTTATTTTATTTTATTTTATAATAAAATAGAATTGAAAATACGTGCCTGCATCACAGGCAATCAGAGTAACTATAGTTTCATGAAAACTTTGTTTCTGTTAAATATGTTTTTGTGTGTGTGCATGTGTACTGGAAGGTTTTATATATATATCATATGTAGAGAAAGAGAGGTGGAAATCAACAACAAAATAAAACTCCATAATTTTGTTATTTTCTAATAGTTCTTGATTTTGAGTAAAAATAATTCTTTAAGAACAAAATTTTAAGCCAGCTAAAGAAAGATCAGAATCAAGCAGGCTCCCATTGAGGCCTAAATAGAGGTTCATCTTATTTGGCTTTTTTTTTTTTTTCCTTTTCCATCTTGTGGGCTCCTTTTAAGGCCTAGCAAGGAATTACCCTCCCCAAGTCTCCACTCCTTGCTTGGTTCAGCCATTCAACCATCTCTCGGGCTCTTTGATTAATAAAAAGTTCAGTAGAGCCATTTTATTCTATGCATGTATGGGATGAGATTTTTCTGATTTGACAGAGAAAATTCACAAATCACGTTACCTTTTTGAAGGCAGAGATTTAAAACTCAAACATTATCACCAGAGAACTAAATTATTAAGAAAGATGAGTTGTCAAAAGTACAGAAGTTTTACAGCATTAAGGGTCATTTTGTTAGGTCTTGTCCAAAATATTTGACATCTAGAGGTCTGAAAAATTGTTAGAAATAATAATTTATGATGACAGTTTTCATTTATTGTTCTCCCCAGCTTTAGGAGCAGAGGAGAACATTTTTTTCCTTCTTATCTTGCTGAGGATTTTTTCACCAGTGTTTCAAGGCTAAGAACCGAAATTCCAGTATTGACATTGAATTAAAAAGAAGCAGGCCCTTTTAGGAAGTCAAATTTTATTATATGAGTTGGAATATAATATTGAGATTACTTATTACTTAAGCATGGGATGGGGGCTTTTAACAACAGACCAAAAAAAAAAAAAAAAGTTGGAAGAACAGGAATGAAATAAAGCAAACTTTCATTATTCATAGATGATAAATTATCTACAGAGAAAAATAATTTAAAACATAAGATTTAAGAGTTTGGCACAGTGGTTGGCTAAATATGTAAATCAATTGCATTTTCTATAAAAACAAAAAAGTAAAAATGTGATTAAATAGTTAATAAAATATAACAAACTTCCAGTACAGTTGACCTTTGAACAACATGGGCTTCAACTGTGCAGGTCCACTTATATACGGATTTTCTTCTGCCTCTGCCACCCTTAAGACAGTGAGACCAACCCCTCCTCCCTTTCCTCCTCCTAGGCATGCTCACCATGAAGATATGAGGGTGAAGACCATTATGATGCTCCACTTCCACTTAATGAATAGTAAATATATTTTCTTTATTATTATTTTTTTGCAAAGAAAATAATGTTTCTCGCCATGTTGCTGAAGCTGGTCTTGAACTCCTGGTCTCAAGCAATTCTCCTGTCTCAGCCTCCCAAAGTGCTGGAATTAAGCCATGGGCCACTGCACCTGGCCAACATTTCCTTTTCTCTAGCTTACTTAATTGTAAGAGTGCAGTATATAACACATAAAAATATAAAGTACATGTTAAACAACTGTTTATGTTATTGGTAAGACTTCTGGTCAACAGTAGGCTATTCATAAAGTTTTGGAAGAGTCAAAATTATATGCAGATTTTTGACTGCACAGGTGGTCAGCATCACTAACCCTTGCGTGTTGAAGGGTCCACTGTAATCAGGAATAAATTCTCAAAAAGGAAAGGCATGCAAGATCTTAGTGGGGAAAATTAAAATCATTAAAAGAAGTTGAAGAAGTATTGCACAGATGGAGAGATATATTCATGGTCAGGAGGCATCAATATCATAAAAATGCCAGTTTTCCCCAATATGATCTGTAGCTTCATGCTATTTCTATAAAAATTTCAACAAAATGTTTTATAGAATTAGACACAATGATATTAAAATGAAGGAACAAAGTTCAAGAAGAGCCAAAATACCATTGAAAATAAAAAGGAAGTTGGGGAATTTCCTGACTACATGAGAAGATATTATATGCACCACTGGATTTAAGACCATGTGCTATTATTGGTGGCAGGGGGAGTAGACAACTGGGCCGATAGAATAGAATGGAAAGAGTATCAGGACCCCTTGTATATGAAGAATGGTTATTAAAGACTAGTGGGTAAAGGATGTATAATTCAGTAAGTTTGAATTTATGACACTGGATTAATGAATACATATACATCATGCATAATAAATTCCAGATGAACTGAAGACTGACATATTGAAGGCAAAACTGTAAAACTTTTAAAATGAAAATGTGGAAGAAATATTTATATGACTTAAAGGCTGAAAAATAATTATTAAAAAGACACACATACAAAATTTAAAAACAAAAATATAAAAAGGTAAATAAATTTGACCACATTAAAATTGGAAACTTTTGTTTATCAAAATATACTCTAAAGAAAAAAAAGCCAGAAACTTACTTTATTTGTATCACATATAATTTATATAGGATCAAAATCCAGAACATCTAAGAAAAGCCCCATAGGAAAATGATCAAAAGATGTGAAAGGGCAGTTCACAAAAAGGGATATATAAATGACCAATAAATATACAAAAGTTAAGCTCGCTCACAATAGTTATCAGAGGATTGTGAATTAGAACAGTCCTTGAAATAACATTTTAAAATCACTAGACAAACATCGAAAGGTCTAACATTATCAAAAATCACTGAGGATATAGAGTGAGGGGAACTCATACTCTGATGGTGGACTTCAAACTGAAATAATCTACTTGGGAAAAAAATTGGTATTTTGTAGAGTTGAAGCTTAGCGTATCTTAAAGCATAGCTGTTCTACTCTTAGGTATATATATGCACCTTAGGGAAATTATGGAATAAGGCACCAAGAGCAATGTGCAGGAAAAGTCATGAGAGCATCTTTTGTAGTTGCAAAAAGCTCAGAACAACCCAGTGTCCATTGGCAGGTAAACTGATGCACAAATTTTAGCATAATGTGGATTTCTATGCAACATTGAAATCAGTGGAATACAGATACAATAATTAACTTATATAATTCTTAAAATCACATTATTGAATGAAGCAAACAAGTAACAAAAATACATCGTGATATTAATTATGATGTTAATTTGTTGTCGGAAGCAAAGACAATATTTACTATGATGAAAAGCAAGATAATTATCAACTCCAAATGTGGAATAATAGTTGCATTTTGCAGAGAGGAAGGGAGATTCTAAGAGAAGACAAACACAGGAAACTTTAATGTTAAGGGTAATGTTCTATTTCTTCATGTGACTGGCGGGAAAAAATGGATGTTTAAAATTCTTGAAGATATGCATCATATGCATTATTTATTTGTAAAAAAATATTTCAAAAACTGGATTCATGAGAAATAAGAAAAGGAAAAAGATGTGTAAGAAATCATTTGTACAGGGACAGAAGTAACAAAGACAATTTGATGAAATTTATTGAGACAGAGACTAAAAAGTGAAAAAGCATGGTACATGTAAAAATATGGCAGAAATGATCCAGATATATATGCATTTGTAATCCCCATTTATATCATTGCATTAAATCTAAATTTTTCTGCTTCTCAGTAAAGATGTGTGTGTGTGTGTGTGTGTGTGTGTATCTATCTCAGCTGTTATTTGCTATTCAAAAAGTGCTGGTTGCAATGGCTCATACCTGTAATCCCAGCACTTTGGGAGGCCAAGGACGGAGGATCACTTGAGCCCAGGAGTTTGAGATCAGCCTGGGTAGCATAGTGAGACCCCGTCTCTACAAAAATAAAAAAATTAGCTGGGTGTGATTGTGCATGCCTGTAGTCCCAGCTACTCAGGAAACTGAGGTGCAAGGATCACTTGAGCCTGGAAGGTTGAGGTTGCAGTGAGCCATAGTCACACCACTGCACTCCAGTGTAAGCGGCAGGATGAGACCCTGTCTCAAAACAAAAACAAACAAACAAAAAACAAAAACTAAAAGATATACAACAAAATGACACCAAAATGATTAAAATAAACCAATGGACGATGATAAACTCAGGCAAATACTAAGAAAAATTATAGATAAAAACACTGATTGACTCCATTTGGTGCTGCTATAACAGTATCCAAGACTGGGTAATTTGTAAAGAACAGAGATTGATTTATCACAGTCCTAGAGGCTAGGAAGTCCGAGGTTGAGAGGCCTGCATCTTGCAAAAATCTTTTGGCTGTCTCATACTATGGTGGAAGGCAAGAGGGATAAAAACAACACAGAAGGAGGGAGAGAGAAAGAGAGAGAGAGTCAGAGAGAGAGGAGAGAGCCCAAGTACAAGAAGTTGAATTCACAGGCTTTCAGCCCTTTTGTAATTGGCATGAATTCATTTATGAGGGTGGAGTCCTTGTGACCTAAACACCTCTCATTAGGCCTCACCTCCTAACACCGTCGCATTGAAGATTACGTTTCCGCCATATGCTTTTTGGGGACACATTCAAACCATTGCAAATATTAATACTGAGCAAAGTAGAATAAATGGTGAAGACATTTTTCAGTGTCACGGAAGGATACTTTATTATGCTAAAATGTACAATTCACTAACTGCCCATAAGTTATAAGCCTTT